AAGTGACAGATATAGTGGGGGTTTGGCTGCTTTTGGGACCTCCTTTTGGATCACTTCTTACGATATATTAAGATATTAAACACCTATTAATCCAATAATTAGTGGTTATATTAGATGGCATTTAATCGGATCAAAACCCCCGTCCTTTCAAAGCCCCGACCCATCAAATAGCAGGCAATCCTTTAGTTGAGAAGCTGTCACCCCTTTCCTCCCCTCCCCTCCCGTCCCTTACATTTGCGACAAACCTCGCATTCAATGCAATTAATTGTCACAAGAAATACATTTAATGAATGAATCAATACTTACGACACAAATGGTGTCAATTGTGGCCAACAATGAGTGGTCTGTCTGTCGATGTGTTTGTGTCGGACTATAACCCAAATGACAACCCGTTTGCCAATTAATAGTGATTTCAATTGAATTCAATTCAAAGTCTAATGAATTGAATGAATGAATGAAACAATCAATAGATTGACTGCAAATGCAAACCAATGTTTTCACTCCAAATGCAATGCCTTTCGTCACAAACAACGTCTAGTAATCATACAAATGAATAGATGTGTGCACTGTATGCAGGTTTCACTGTACTTTCGATGGATTGAAACAAATCATTGATCCTGATCATTTTGATTGTAAATGAGATTAAATTTAGTAAGTTTGTGGCTATACAGTATAAAAGGCTAAAATTTATTAATTTATTTGTATACATTATATGACTGTTAGTATAGTACAGATTTAGTGAGAAATTCTAACAAGGTAAACATAGAATATAAGTTAGAATTTGACAATAATTCAATCAATTATACAAAATATAAAACATTTTTTGAACAAAATAAATACAAATAAAATGCATTATGTACAGTAAAATAAATATTTAACTTTTTTAGAGTGAATGACAAAAAATCAACAAAAAGAAGAAATCGTATAAAAATGTCATAACTTTTGTGCTTTGAATTGAATGGTCGGCAGAATATTGTCGGAAATGTATCAAAAACTGTATCCAAGATTTATTAGTCCGACATTAATAGTTATAATTGCTATTATAATTGCCATTATAACTATTGACAGGTTCTCGCACAATTTCATAGCCGTCATACACTTGAGTGCTAATCACTTCTCCGTCGGCATACTCTTCGTACGGCTGATCCCCGTCTGACGAGTCGTATCCATCATAGAGGGACTCGTAGCTGTCGGGCGCCGACACTCTGTCATAAGAGGGCCTATTATAAGACGGCTTATTATTATAAGACCGCGAATACGATCCAAACAACTGATTGGGCGACGGAAGGGGTGATTTATATCCTGATTGAGCGCTATATCCTAAACCCGATGACCCGTACCCTCCGTTAGAGGCGCCGTATCCTAGACTTGACGATCCATAGCCTCTATTCGATGGTCTATAGCGGGGACGGTATGGTCTGGCCCTCTGTGCTGAGTATGATTTAGGCCGTTGAACGTAAGTGTGTCGGGATAATGGGATTCTTGAGTTGTAATAAAGTTATAAATAAATTATTATAAATAAATTATAACAATCATACCCTTTATTATAGGCACCGCTACTGCCATAGCCTCTGACAGCTCGTCCACCTCCATAACCACCTCTTTTGCCTCCCCTTCCGTATAGCGAAACTCCATTTCCGTAACTGTTATCTCCGTTTGAAGTCTCAATGAAACACAAAACTATCAAAAATGAAAGGATTGTCTGAAACAATAGAAATATATTATTCAATAAACACAAAAACTTAAAAAAAACTAAATTTTTAATTAAATATTTATAAATAGAGCAAAACTAACAAAAAGATTCATTTCGTCAGTCGTTGTTCTCTCGGATAATACAACAGAAACACAATTTTTAAGACAAGAAAATGAACACAATTTCAATTTACTCCTTGTATTTATAAGTTTCATAAAAATGTAGTTTAAATCCATTTAAAAGGCTATTCTCCATCGGATCAAAACCTTTTTCTCAATTCATATATCGTATGATCATTGCATCCGAACTACACTTTCACTTATCATTAGATTTGAAAAAAATAGTTGAGATTAAATCGGAATTAATAAAAATTTGGATCAAATGAAGATTATCTCAATTTTATTTATTAATTATAAAATGTGTTGTCAATATATCGAGTTCATAAATTGTATATTCATTTTCAACTTTTCTTTTATCTATTTGTTACAAAATATATTATACTTTTATGCAATCATTTATTGTATAATACTTGACACCAGATTCATTTATTTCCAGTATTTATCATTCAGTGACAAAACACTAGAGATTTAATACATTACTATTATATTAACGTTACGTTTTAGTATGCAATAGCACAAGCATTTAAAATACAATTATCGCTGTATTTATCTATTGATTAAAATTTAAACATAAAATAATACAAAATTTTAATCCATATACTGTATTTGGTATTGTGAAATAAAAAGTTTAATATATTCTCTATAGTATAATATAGTATTTTGATAAAATCGTTTTAGTGACTTAAATAATTAATTTCTGTAAAATACTGTATGATGCTGTTAGCAATTTTTATTTAAAATATTAGAATAGAAAGTGTATTACATTTATGCCAAATCACAACACAATTATTATAATAGCTTACCGTAAATAATAGTAAAATAAATAAATAATTAACGTGAAATACCTTTCAAATGTATCACAGAATGTATATGAATATGTAAACATGAGAATATACAGGATTTGAATAAAGTAAGAGATTTGAAAGTGGAATAAATGTCATGTTATCCCCACATCTGGTGCTCAATCTGTTGTCACCTTTAGATAAAAAATCATTTTTTAAATACTTCCTAAATTGTAGAATTACTGCAACTATACCTCATATAGTGCTATGAGTTCATAAACTAATCTCATTTAATCTCATTAATTATGAGTTTTTACATGAATAGTAGTACTGTGTGCTCATCAGGCAGTGATGTACGAGAATTAAATGTCAAGTTTTTAGCAAACTTGTAGAGTAGTACTGAATGTGCCATAAGAGTGTGAGACATACGGTTATTGAGTCCAATAAAGTTTAGGTGTCATCACAAATGTCTATCCAACCGGAATCTGTTACACATACTTCTCGTAAAAATGTATGATTTCATATCAATTCAATAACTATTCAAATGTCGTTTTTATGAATCAAATTTTGCTTCAAAAGCTATGAATTTTGTGTGAAATATTAAAGCAATAGAGCGTGTGATACATAAAAACATTGTATAAGTTGAGCATGTACAGAGTAGTGTAGTTGAGAAAGTAATGTATATTATGTTAATATTCAGATGCATCTTGAATTTTGATGATTATTGAATGCATTTGTTTTTTTATAGAAATCCATTAATCATACAAAGTATTTACTGTATATCAAAATTAATTTCAAAGGAATAAAAGTTTGACAGTTAAAATACTATTTTTGAAATTGATATTAATGACTTTAATTAAATTAAAATGATTGAAATATCAAAATATTTTATAAATTAAAATAGCTTTTTTGTTTTCTTTAACACTTAATTCATGTATTAATGAAACAATACTTTAATAAAAACGTAAATTTATATGACATGTCAAATTATGTTTATTCTCTGATATTTAATCCTAAATTCTATTTTTATATTAACAATGTTATTATTTAATGTGACAATGATTATATAAAAATAACTTTGTATTTATGTAATGTTTGCAGCATTGTATACAGAATATTTTATGTTCAACAAAGTCAAAACATCTTGTTTTACCACAAATGTTTGACTTATAAATTAATTACAAAACCCACACATTAGATAAATTTAAATATCAAGCAGAATAAACAGGTATTAAGTAGTTTGCGAGTGCTTTATTTAGTAAGTGATTATTGTAAAAGGAATAATTCACAAACTAGCAAATAGCATTGATGATTATATTATGGTAACTCATAAATATGATTCTATAAATCCAATCATTAATCAAATCAAATTTATGTTATTTTTAGATGAACAGGATTCGGATTTATAAACACAATTTTTAAAGTTCAGAATATTTATTAAATTATAGTTTTATAAATATACTATATTTTATTATAATACAAAAATCACTTCTAAAAACTATTTTTGTTTCAAATATCTCATTATTGAATATAAATTGAATATTTTATTATAAATAGCATAACATTTGTGTCGCAAAAGATAAATAAAACAATTAATAATATATAAGTGAATATAACGTAAGAATTGCGAGACTTAATGGTTAGAAGTGTAGGCATCGATCACTTGTGACAAATTGCTGGCTCTTATGCCTCGCTTACAATCTCTGGTTTTTGTTATTTTTATTGTTATTGTGGTATTATATCTATTTTACTAATATTCATACAATATTAACAGTTACATTAAATGTAATACTATTATATTAAATTGACAATAAGCACTGTTAGATAGTAATTATTTATACATTAGCAACCGTTGCACTCACACAGTGTTTTTTCCTATAAAAATAAAATACTTTTCCTAAGAATATGTTGAATCCAACATCATTTAAATCCTAACACTTCTATAAAAATAAATATGTTTATAAAATATTTATTTTGATTTAATTTAAGAGATGTTTCTGTGGCCAACTATCCACTCTTGGAAAGGACAGCCAATTATTTAGGGATTTGTCCTGTTTTAGGATAGTAATAGTAAACATTGAATGTCCATTATTTGTGATAAATATAAAATGCTATATTTAGAAAAATAATTGTAGAATCAAACTACAAAATAAAATCACAATCTAATACATTATCATGTAATAAAAATACATTTTGCTTATAAATTATATAGAAAAATATGTTAATAACTAATGATAAAATTAGTCAAAGTTGCTGTAATGTAAGTCAGTAAAATAAACAGTAAAAATATTTTCAAAAATTGTAAATTCAATTCCACAATAAAAAATGTTGTCCACTATTTGTCCTAGACTACTTTTTTCAATTATTTTACTGTTCACTAATGACGTAACCTTACAACCTTGTTAGTTGGTCACACTGGATGTTTGCAACATATGTATTGTTCATTAAATCTCATTTATTACTACATCATTGTTTTAAAAATAAATACCCAAACATAATTTTGTTAATTAGATTTGAAAAACAAAATGAAAATTTAATGTTTTAATTGAAACTTAAAATGTATTATCTAATGTAATTTGCACATAATTTAAGTCTTATAATTAATATGCAAATTAGCATATAATGTGCGTAATCTTAGTAAAGCCAATTAAAAAATAATAAGTTAGATATACCGTACTTGATCTAAATTTATTTGTTTATCAACAACATGCTAAATACATTATTACTGTAGCATCATTGGGTAGATTTAAATATCAGACAAATAGAGAATAATGTATGGCCAATGAAAATAAACATACTAAAAAAATATCATACTGCACATTTGCCTCATATAATTTGCGTAATACAGAGCTTTTGCAAATTGAAACCATCGACTCTAATGTCATGGGTGCAAGTTATTTTGATAAGATATAATATTATTATATTTTGCTAATAAAGAAATTCTTAGTTATTGATTGACTTTTAATGCGAGAGCTGTTGATATCTTAATTGTTTACTTAGATTCTCATTGAATGCCATCTTTAAGCTATAAATAATTTGTTTGCCCGGCTATAAGAAATGAACTAATAATAGAAAAACTTATTTGATTATTCTGTGATTTTGATGAAAAATACATTTCCTAGCAAGGCCTATAAATTGTCATATTTTAGGTTACTAAGAATAGAATAGTACTGTATGTCTTTGTAATAAAGCATTCAAATGTCAAGTCTAGAAATATTTTCAAAACAATATGCATATTAAAATAATTTGTTCAGGTAATTGCTTTATAATGCATACTTGCAAATTGTTCAAATATTACTTACAAAAAGTTAGATTTTAATTGGTATACAGAAACACTCTTATTTATTTTTGCATTATACTAAAATAATTTTAATAAAATAATAATATGCTTTCAAATATGTTGTTTAATATTTTATAAAATAATCAATGGAAAAATATAATTTGAAGTTTTATTTCTAGATGATTAGATGTATGAGATTCTTGCAAAGGGTAAGTCTATATACAGAGTAGTTTAATGATACTAGGTTTTCATACATTGTATTAGAATACTCTGTTAATTAAATAAAACAGTTTTAAATATTAAAAATAAATTTTAAATCAAGTAATTAATTAAAGGGTGTACAATACTTAATTAATCAAATAATATATTTCACAATCAGTAATTTTATTAATTAATTAATGAACTTACGAAATAGACTTGTTATCAATAATTCAAAATAAAAACAGTGTGTTATATGTTTAGTTGATATAAATGATCCTTAAAAGAATTTGTCTGCCTTAGATATCAACTATCATAAAATAACATTTATTAATGCACAATGTACCAGGGACTTAATTTGAAACATGAGAAAAATCATGGTTTT